CCCCCCCCCTCCGGTTTAGGGTTTAGGTTTTATCAGGTCTAGGGCCTAGGGTTATAGGGTTTAGGGTTTAGGGTCACGCAATCACTCCAACGGAGGGGCCTAAATAATTACCTATACCAGCGTGGGGGTTCCTTGTTATGATTATAGTAGAAGGGGCCACAAAACCCGATTCTAATTCTTACGGCCCTTAAATCCTAAACCCTTGTAGTAGCCCTTATAGAACCCTTTAAGGAACCCTTTAAAGGAACTAAGGCCAAAATATTGTACTTTACCCCGTCAAGCTTCGTCTGCTTGCAATCAAACGGGAAGTTGTCGAAATTAAGGTCACCTTTTCGAACCCAAACATAGTCTGGGTCCTTGTTGGATACCGTTTTACGTTTTTGTTATCATTAAGCCCAATAAGGATTAAAAATGATCATTTTTAATATAGCCCCAACAGAGAACCAGCAGTACGGCATCCTTACTTAGAGGACCCTTAAACGGACCCATATTTAGAGAACTAGCCACATAGAACCCTTATAGTACCCTGATAGAAACCCTTCTAGATCCCTTTAAGGAACCCTAAACGGGACAAAGACGAGAGAAGGTGATGGACTCCCACCTCGCGGAGCAAAGGCGTATGCGGTCGCTGGACAGCGGAAGCATCACCGGCCTGCTGCGACGCCGCTGAAAGCGCGCGGGGTTTCGTAGGACCTTGCCCGCACCACAAACGTATGTAGACTCGTAGACCCTAAGCCCAAAACCCCTAAACCCGAAACTCGATACCCTAAACCCGAAACCCTAAACCCGAAACCCGAAACCAAAGCTAAACCCTAAACCCTAAGCCCTAATCCCTAATCCCTGAACCCTGAACCCTAAACCCTAATCCCTAATCCCTAAACCCTAAACCCTAAACCAGGCGTTAGGGTTGACGGGCACGTGCGGTCTAACCTCGAGCCAAGAAGTTCCAACATCCCTTTTCTTGCCTAGGGTTTAGGGTTCAGGGTTTAGGGATTAGGGTTTAGGGATTAGGGTTTCGGGTTTAGGTTTGGTTTCGGGTTTACTTGCAGCCATATGGGTAGTTGTCAAAATTATGGTCCTTTTCGGGGTACCCTAAATAATAGGTGCCGTATTGTAATAAGGACCCATAATTTTGACAACCACCCATATTTAAGGTTCCTCTAGACTTTACCTGAAAACCCTAAACCCTAAACCCTGAACCCTAGACCTTATAAACCCTAAGCCCTATAGCCCTAAAAATAGACCTTAAACCCTAAACCCTGAACCCTAGACCTTATAAACCCTAAACCCTATAACGCTAAACCCTAAACCCTAGACCTTAAACCCTAAACCCTATAACCCTAAACCCAATTAGGCACTATTCCTTAGTTCGGCTCACAGAGTTTTGCAAATGAGTGGGGCGAGCGCCGTACCGGCTGACCTCCCAAGGAGTGGTTTTTCCACGAGGCCGCGGAGGGCTGCTTTAGGATTTTAGGGTTTAAGTTCTAGACTCGAGGCTTATAGGGTTTAGGGTTTATAAGGTCTAGGGTTTAGGGTTTAAGGTCTAGGGTTTAGGGTTATAGGGTGTCTTGCTGCGCAGTGATAGTCCATGCTAAGATGGCGCCACCCCACACCAGGGTTTGTGGGTGGCGGCATACTTCGCGTGAAGCGACTTCTTGTGTGCTTT